AGAGAGAGTAACGAAAAGGAGTGAGACAGAGCTGATGATGAGAGGAGGGGGTGGAGGGGGTAGAGGAAGGAAGAATGGGAGAAGGAGAGAAATCTTTTTATTGCTGGGGGTCTCTGTGGGACTGACAGTAAATAAGCAGTGATAAGCAGCAGGCGGCTTCAGCCGGCACCCTGACTTGCAGGCTGTTAATGACCCAGCTTCACTAGTATGTCCCTGCCTTACCCTCGCCTTTCCATGGCTCTACCGTATTCTCTTCCTCCCTCTGCTCATAGGCACGTCTTTCTCATCTTCTTCTGTCTGCCTTCCTCTCCCTCTCCTCCATTTTGTAATCACATTTTCTCTCCCAGTTCCTTCCACCATCTACTGACTCTATTTCTTCCTAATCTGCTGTTAACCCTGGCCCCCCTCCTCCACCCCCCATCTACCACCCACCTCCCATCTGACACATCATGCTGAGGTAAAGACGAGCACAGCGCAGCATCCTTCTCCGTCCTTAAATGAGCATTCGCGCCTCTTTGCAGCTCTTTTCCCTCATTCCTCACAGTTTAAACACAGGGAGCTGCAAGGTCAAGTGTGTTATATTGATGTGTGCCTCAGTATATATATCGCTCTGTGGTTTATTGGCGCTTGTGTAGGTGTGCATCCCCGCTCTGTGAATCTGTGCCTGTGTGTGTGTGAGTGAGGGAATGTGCATCTTAGGTCAACGGTTAAAGAGATTCAGCCCACAGCAGCGAGATGACCAGCAAGGTCAAGGCCAACTCTGTGGCAACATAAATTGTTCCGCTCGGAAATCCTTCCTTCTCCGGGGGCACACAAATCATCCTGTTCCCGTTAAATTTCTTCACAGTTTGAAACCCTTCTGACTCCGGAAAATGTACACTGGGCAGTGTGCGTTATTATTAACACACCCTAAACATATGCATTTAAAAAAGTATGGAAGCTTCATTTTTTTTGTTTGTTTAACGAAGTGGAAACTGAGGGGGAGCTTAGCGCTAATTTTACGCTTTGTTTGTTTTAATTCTATTAGTTGTCGCCTATCTTACATGTTTTTCATTAGTTGTGCGTGGATACCCTGAAAGGCTAAATCCCTTTTAACCTATTCAAGTCAAATCTTATTTATTCATGTGAAGAGTTTACTGTAGCACACCCACCTTTATATTGAGAGATGGCTAGCAGCATAAAATGAACCCACACCTAACCTGTGAGTCTTCCGTTTAAATATTTCACCCATAGCAGCAATCCTGGTCTAATCTATGTCTGTGCCTCCCTTGGTGCCTTAGTAGAGGGATTAAAGCAACACAAAACAGCACGAAGGAGGCCATGTTGAATCACTAATTGTACATTTTGTTTGTGTCTTTGAGATTTCTGTGGCGGAATCCAATGGGGTGAATATTGTGGGCGGGAGGTGTTTGCTGTATTTGTTTACATGTCATTTTCCCACCCGTTTTGCCAGTGGCCCAGCACGTGCTGAATTCATCGATTCTCCTTTCATACACAGCAGGTTGCTCTTTTTTTCCCCCTCTTCCCTCTCTGCTCTCACTTTTTAATTCCGTCTTGTTGTTGCCACGCTGCCTATGTCCCTATCTCTAGCATTTTTTTTCCCATTTTATTTTATTATATATTTTTTCATTTTTGTCTTTCTGGATGGGTATTTCTACCTCCCTGTGCTTTTCAGTCTCTAGCTGTGCTAATTTCTCTAAGACTGTCACTGATTTTTTCAGCTCTTGCTGTCTCTGCATCTCTCTCCCTTCCTCTTTGCATATCTTTCTCTGGTTCCTTCATACTCTTACTCTCTTGTTATACTGCACTTTCTGCTGTCACTGCCTCTCAGGACCTCATTTTAACACTCCTCGCTCAGTGCTCCTCTTTCGTTCTTCATCCCTACTCTTTCACCTCATTCCTGGGTCCTCGGCTTCGACTTCTTTCTTCTTGCATCTCTTACCGTATCCATTCCTCTCCCTGCCTCTCTGCTACTCTTCAAAGGAGTTCATTCCGGACTTGGAAATCCTGCTCTACACAGCACCTCCAGGTGCGGATTGTTTTTAACGAATCCTTCAAACCCAAGGCTGAGAACTGACACAGCGATAAATTTACACACACTCTCTGAGTGCACATACAGTACACCAGTGTGTATGGCTACATGACTTCAAGAACATACAAACAAATACTTGTGCACTCAGGTGCTCAACAGCAAAAACACACAAAACTCACAAGGGCTTAACTAATATGGGATTTTAAATACAATTTTCTTCAAGTTCAACTTCTCAAAATTATCTTAAAAATCTGCCAAATTTTGAAGATATATTTTTTATTATATAGCACTGAGATACAGTGTTCTAGGATGTATGTGTATGAAACAGCATGTCTGACTCCATCTATCCAATAAAAAGTTGAAAAAAACAAAATTTGGTGCTGAAACAATTAGTAGGTTCATTAATACGTGCTGGATTATTGACTTTTAAAGCCTGCTAAGGTTAAAAATGTGTTTTGCTTATTGTGACTTCACTTGAATGAGCTTTATTGTGCAGAATGATGCACAAGTGTGACTCTAGAAGGCTGTTTTCACATTCAACTGCTGAACATTTGTCTGTGGTCTCCTTACAGTATATCTCAGTTTAACACTTGTGGGTTATGTGACATCACAATTAGCTTAGAAGCCAATCGTGGTTTCAAATGCAACTTACACAGATGGGATGTGGTAGCCTGAAACCTCAAGTGCACATCCAGTGAGAATGGACTTTTTGTGAAGTAGTTTTCTTGTGTCCAACAGTTACACTTTTGAAATGAACCATATTTGCATATTTGAATTCTGGATGATGGACGAGTAGTAATGTAATATCATTTTGAATGAATAACTCAATAAAGAATTTTTATTGCGGTAATTAAACTTTTTTATATCACATCAGAATTATTCTTTAAGAGTAAAGTAAATTCATATGACTTACAACTGGAGGAAATTTTTAATAATCACCTAATCATTTAAGTCATTTATCAAGTATAAATGGCAAAAATGTGATGGTTTCAATCTTTGTTGGCTGGACAAAACAAAGAATAGGAAGAAACCATCTTGGGCTTTGGGACATTGTAATGGGCATTTTTAATTATCTCTGATTTTACAGATAAAATTATTAATTGATTAATTGGAAAAATCATATACAATGAAATGCAGCTCTCATAAAATTTTAAACAAAATAACATTTCCAAAAACAAAGCCCTTTTATTCCTCTTATTACAAACCTCCATCATATCAGCTGGCGACAATATGGCTGCTATTTAATATTTAAACGATATGGGGTAAAGATTTTATACTTTTCAGTCAATAAATCCCATGAAAGCAGCAAAACCAACAATGCGTTAGTCTGTCTCATAATACGTTATGTCTTCACTGCTTGTTGCTCAAGCCTATTTGTCCATTACTGAAGATGTAAATCTGAAAAATGGCACAAAAACCTATCCATTTGCTCTAAAAGAAAGCTAAATAATTTCCTAGCCTGTGCGTGCTCATGGTAATTAAGGAACACCCAGTGCAACGGCTCATTGTTGTGTGTTTTAAGAGCTCTGTGGCACAGAGGAATAATGTGTCAGGCTTTGGAAACAAGTTTGATTGATCCTACTAACAATACTTGTTAGTAGGATCAATTTATTGTTGATTTTGTTCTTTGTATGTAATTTGTTGACATTAAAAGCATATAGAAGCCTTATTCTTTAATAACTGCAAATTGATCAGCCTCATCATACATGTCCTTGATACTTCAGCATACACACGTGTGCACACACATTCTACTCTTGAATCTGCATGCATGTATCAGGCTGTCTAGTGCTTATTACACAGGATACACAATCAGCATATAAGCACACACTCTCATGACAGGCATCCCATAGATCCCATAGAGAGGTGGCTGACAGCATTAATGGAGACACAAGTGTACTTTTATTGAAGTCTCTGAAGCATGTCTGTAGGGCTCATTTGAAATGAAAGCGTCATATCTCAGACATGCTTCCCACACAGTGCCCTCCTCCTTATTAAGTCTATATTACATGTGAGCACTGAGGCCCCCGTCCTTCTCCCGGCACAGACATGTATGTACTTTAACAAGCCATAGTGGTAATGAACTGGTGTCAGCACTTTCACTGTGCACACACATCTTCATAAGAATGTGATTATTGGAGATGACAGGCAGCTTAGGGAATGGCCGTTTGAAATTGAAATCATCTAGCATTACACTAAAGGGAACTATTAGCCATCTGAACTCAGGAAGTAAAGGCAGAGCGTCATTGGTCCTTCTGTACATGCAAATGTTCTGCACAGAAAGACCTTTGCTGAAAGGCAGCAGTCAAAACTGGTCAAAACATTTTTGCTGCAAATTACACTCAGCCGCTGCAAACATTGCATTTGGATGCGTCATACGGTGATTGAGTTTCATACGGCTGTTTCTTTATGTTTGCTGTAAATAGATGGAAATGGTAATAAAAAGGAGGCTGGTTCACAGTGACTCAAGCAGTAAATTCATTTGTCAGAAACCCATCAAAACTCTCTCACCTGATGGGAGTCAAATATGGAGAAAAGGTGAAATGAATATAGATCACATGTTTTACAATCCTCACTGAAAAGGCTGCTGAGAGATGAATAATTTCAAATCTTATGGGCTTATACAGTGCTTCTGTGTATTTCCAGGTAATTCCAGGTTAATGGGCTTAGGCAACATGTTTTTAGCTATGCTCATAGACAAAACAAAACTCCTCTCTCAAAAACCTGCCCACGTTACCTGTGTGATCACCTCTCCTCCCCCTCATCATCTGTTCTTTTTTTACTTTCCTCTCCTGTCCTGTCCTTTTCCCTTTTCCCTTTACAAACCAACGCCTTTCTGTACATGTTCCAATAGTGCTACCTCATCTAGCTGCCTTCTTTCTCATTATACATACACGGTTTCATACTCATACTCATACTCAGTTTCATTCCTTCCTACCACCTGTCCACCCCTCTGTCATTTTTCCCTTACCTTGTTGAGTGTGATGACCGCCTCTTGGTTCACTCCGGTGATGTTGAACGTGTCCCCGGTCTCCCCCTCCAGGATGGTATATTCCAGCTTGGCGTTCTCGCCGAGGTCTGCATCAGTTGCAGAGATACGCCCTATCTCAGCCCCCGGGATGGCCAACTCGGAAACGGAGAAGGACCACATACCTGAGAGAGACACATGACGGCACATGTTAGGGAAGCGCTGTTTGTTTTTATGCGCTGATAAACTTCATTTGCCAGTTAATTTTGTCTGTTCTCCACCTGTGCTGAGCCAATATTTACAATATTTCATTCAGATAAGGCAGCATTTAATTTAACCGGTCTGAGAGGATGAAGGCAAAAGATAAAAGAAGAGAAAGCAGAGTCTGCGTTTGAGCGCTCGACATTGAGATTGTTATTAAAAGCAAGGTAAAATATAGCTGGGAAACCTGCTGGAAAAAAAAACAGTTAAATCAAAAGAAGCTAGGATTAAAAAACTGAAGGAACAGAGGAGATAAAGAAAAAGCAAAGATTACGGGGGACAAAAAGCTACTCTGTCTCCCACAAAACATTTGAACTTGATGACATACGCTAACTACTCGTCACGAACATCCACTTTTTTGTCTCTGAGTCGTCCATTCCTTCCTCCTGGTAATAAGTATTAATTATGATAACAAGCTCTTTCATGTGTGCTGCCATCATGTTTGGGCCCATTAAAGCAGCTCATCAGCAGAGTCTTTCTGCTGGCTTTGCCATTTATATTATAGGGACACACAGTACATTTCTCTTATGATTCACTCGATGCACCTATCTGATGAAAATACCAGACACAACGTGAACTCTCATTACTGCATTGAAAGCACAGATGCGCATGCACGCATAAATTCAAATATCCACCTATACCACTTTATTTCATCCTAACACATACACACAGTCACACTGGCTACACTGACAAGAATAAGTATGGTAGGAAAGCAAGAAATTGAGCGAGGGGAAAAGGTAAGATATCACTATTTGGCTCGCACACACAGAACAGACAGGCTCATTCAAACAGAGCTGTTATCTGCTCAGCTAAAGCTAAGGGAATCAGATAGACCTGTAAATGTGAGAACAACATCGCACAAACACATTGGGTTGACAGAATAAAAGATAGCCAGCACTTCAACAAGACAGTATCTGGGCCACTACACAGTCAGACGAATTCTGTAAATCTGACGACATCACAGCGAGACGAGATGTGAGGTTATTTCACTTTGTGGATCAGGATTACAGTTCAGACATCAACCAAAGTTATCACTCAGGGTGTCTGACTGTTGTCTTTTTAAGTCTCTTGATGTCAAATCTGTAATGTAGGCTAAATAATAACTTCTAAAAGCGTTTCTTACATGTTTCTTCTGTCCTCCAACCAAAAGACTAAGTGAGTTATTTGTCAGTGCCAGTGACCATTACAAAGATTACATTACATTTATTCATTTAGCTGACGCTTTTATCAAAAGGGACAATTGCTATATATGTCAGAAGTCACATACCTCTGGAGCAACTAGGGGTTAAGTGTCTTGCTCAGGGACACTTTGGTGGATGTGTCACAGTGGGGAATTGAACCCAGGTCTCCCTCACCAAAGGCATGCGTCTTATCAACTGCACCCCCTTCACCCCTATACCCCTACACATTACAAAGACATTTTCAGCTTTTTCTGATCTGACACCTGTATGGGTATGTTTTTGTGAAGTTGGTGAAGCAATTAAAACATAAGCTATAGCAAATGTTTTAGAAATACTGAGAAGTGTCCCCCAATCACACAACAAACCCCCAGACACACACTCAAAAATCATTCTATATTATATTTATGAAATTAATTACACTTTCTGCAAATTGTGTAAATGCTGTTTCAAAGATATCTCTACACTAAATCTCTGGTGGACAAATAGTGAATTCTTTCTTTCTTTATTTTTTATATTGAGCCTAAATGTCTTGGAATCAGCAAAACAAATACATATCATACGTTTTACTTGGAGAATGCAAACTCCCCCTAAGTTGCTATAATTCCCAAAAGAAAATGCGGAGCCCAGGACTTCAGTATTCATTGTGGTAGCTACGGCCCTGATTAAAGCTACTTTGTCCAGGTCAGAGAATAATCATTGTTATAGTTGGTAACAAAACCAACCTTGACTGAAGAAACGGAGTGCAAGTCAGATGGCTTGCACACAACCTTTTCCCTGAATGAGGCTGCGTTTTTTAAGCTGTCTGACAGATACCACATAAAGGGTTGACTTTTACTCACATTTTACTGTGACTGAAAGTTTACGCTTCTGGTCTATTTTCTTCTATTTTAAAAGTGCAACTTCAGCAAGTGTGGGCTCTAAGTGCTGCCAAAACACTGGTGACCTACTCTCAGCACTATGCCTGAACACATCCACTGGAGACCCTGACAAAGGCTGCTGCTCTTCTAGCATAGTGCTGTCAACCACCTGTGTGGACACGTTGTAAGAAGTTTTGCAGCTATACGACAACATCAATCTATGTGCGTGGCTGAAAGTTTTCACAAGTCTGGAAAACATAAAAATTGGGCTTTTGGAGTTTTAGACTATAAGACCAATGCCGCCGTGTTTCTGGTGAGGACCGACTTAATTTCCCCGGTAGTTTTACACAAGCTTTCTTCATCATCATTTGGGGGAAATAAAGTAGAGTTTACAAAAGCCTTTGAGTATTAAAAAGTGTGCTCCCTATAATGATGCATACTATGACAAGTCTGGAGAAAAAATTTTATTTTAGCAAAGTAAAGGAAATCACAATTTAAAACAACTGGTTCTTATTCCTGGTATCCTTGATTAAGTTGCTACTTGTCTGGAAGTCACTTCCAGTAATTGACCCTATTGTCCGTACAGAACATAAACACCACTACAAATTCACACTGAAACAAAGTGTCACCCTTGCAATAAGGACGTCCATCTGTAAGATAAGATATTTAGTGGTGTTTCATACCACCACACCAAATTACTTCTTGATCACGATGAAACCACAGTGAAAGAAATAGTTTTAAACTTTTCAATAAGCTGCTTTTTATAATAAAGTTGTTTCCCAGCTAGGATCTCCACATTTAACTGATCGGCTTGTATAAATTGCTGTTTTATTGTCTGAGGTGAAATATTCTATACAAATCAAATGTATTATTAGTTTATTAGTGTTCTCCTTCTGTAATTGTAATCAGAAAAAAGAAATCATTTCAATTGGTATGTAACCCTAACACTGTAATATTAAAATGTCACTAGTTAAATAAAGTTGTTTCCCAGCTAGGATCTCCACGTTTAACTGATCGGCTTGCATAAATTGCGAATCAGAATTGTTGTTTTTGTAATATTTATTCATGATCTGATATTTAGAGTTTGTAATCAGAAAAAAGAAATCATTTCAATTGGTATGTAACCCTAACACTGTAATATTAAAATGTCACTAGTTAAATAAAGTTGTTTCCCAGCTAGGATCTCCACGTTTAACTGATCGGCTTGTATAAATTGCTGTTTTATTGTCTGAGGTGAAAAATTCTATACAAATCAAATGTATTATTAGTTTATTAGTGTTCTCCTTCTCTGACTGCTGCTGTAATGGCTGTGAGGTTTTTGCCAGCCTATTCTCAATGGAGATTACATTACAGCACAAATGACACAAATTCACCACTGACATCCAAATGGGATTTGTTTTCCAGAGTTAAATATGCTTAAGTGGTTAGCTGTTAGCTAGCGCCACAGCGTTTCCTCTGCGCACATTATAAGCAGTCAGTGGGACAGCAGCATTAAGTTCACTGCTTGCCTTATGGCTCTAAAGGGCCATCAATTGGCTCCATTGCCATATGCTGCTCTCCAGGCTGCTTCTCTTTATACTTAACTTCATTTACATCCAGGTGAACAACTTCTTCCTCCTCCTCCTCTTCCTCCTCCTCCTCTCCCTTTTCAATAATTTTCTCAAGGTGTTATACAGATGCTCTCATGTGTCACTGCTTTAAGTGTAATGTACAGGATGTAATGGCTGGTTTTAATGCACTTCAATAACTTACTGACTAATAGGTACTTTCTGAAAAGTGATATAAAGGTTACTTCAAAGTACTATAGCCCATAAGCACTGCCTCCATCAGACAGTTAGACATAAAATTAACTCCAACAGTTATTCATAAAGAGGAATGTTTTACTAATTATTCATCACTCTTTACGTCCCATAATTTATGCTATTATGTCATTATTGCTCGCTGCCAACACTTTTTTATGCTTCATCATTTTTTGTTTCTCTGTCAAACACCAAAACTGTCAATTTACCTATATTCTTTTATTTTAAAAATGGAATAGGCTGACTCCAGTTTCTGATAGTGATCCCAAACAACAAATGGTATTCTTTAGCTTGATAAACCAACTGAAGTAAAAGTCATTTCAAGCCCACAAATTCTAATGTAACTCATGTCTCACGCGTACATTTACATACTGCCAATTTGCAACAGAAAATATGTTTTGAGAGAAATGTAATGCTGCCTGGACAGTATTTTACCATCAAAATGTGAAAACATTGTTGATCAACCAAGTTGCAAAATGTTTATGGTGAAGATATATGCTAAATGGTTATTAACAAAGTATTATTTATTATTTTTATTTGTTTTCCTATGATATCCACTCTTGCAATATAATATCCTCTCACATATATCTTATGGTTTTGTTTAGGCACTCAAAGCACTTAAGGTTAAGGTTACAAAAAGATCTTAGTCTTAGTTTGATATTTAAAAATTCAATAGTGCTTTTGTTTTGCGAAGCCTAAACGCACAGAAGACTCCCGTCTCCAGTGTCACAGTGCTGCACAACTAACTTGTTGTACATGATTGTAGAAAAAAAGTGGGAACATTATCCAGACAGCAATTATGTTTCCCCCCAAAACACAATTGGCAAGACAAATTACTAGTATATAAATGTAATTTCTAGGAAACATTGTTGTTTCATAAATTCCTTATGTAATCTCGATTCACATAAGAAAGGAGAAAATTACTATGTAGGAAGAGAGTCAGAATTGTTGTTTTTGTAATATTTATTCATGATCTGATATTTAGAGTTTGTAATCAGAAAAAAGAAATCATTTCAATTGGTATGTAACCCTAACACTGTAATATTAAAATGTCACTAGTTATAAAAGCAAGTGGACATACTTTTTT